ATGGTACGCATCCTGAAGCATCATGGGGCACGGCCAGAGGTACTGGAACTGGTTCGCAGCTACCAGTGTGACCTGTGTGAATCGCGTAGGCCACCCAAAGCTGTTCGCGAGAGTGCAGTGCCTCGAGATTTAGCCCCATTGAGATACATCGGTTTGGATGTGAAATGGCTCCCAACCTGGAAACGGGATATGAGCATCAAAGCTGTAAACATTGTTTGCAGAGCCACAGGATTCCAACAGATGTACCCCTTCAGGGAAACCGAGAACTCAGATCTTCTAGTCAGATTGTATCGACACTGGACTCGTTCATTTGGGCGGCCAAAGTACATCAAGTTCGATGCTAGCAGGTGCAACCTAGGACAGACTTTTTGGACGCATTGGAACGGGACTAGATGTACCAGGTGAAGCTCATGAACAAATGGGGGACGTGGAGGTACAAGGAAGACACTTTTCCACCATGTTGACAAAGGTTATTGATCAGATGCAGCCAAATGACCATCCTAGTTGGTTGGAGTGTGTTGATGTGACTATTGAAGCGAATCACGCATTGATGAGGCGAGGAGGATACAGTCCAAACCAATTAGTCTTTGGGAGAGACCCAGAAATCCCAGGGGATGACTTGTTGACAGAGGACCCCAATCCAATTTGCAAACGGTGCAATCGTAGAGGATGCCATAGCAGCATTTTCGTTCAGGGCACGGCAGAAGGCTCGCGAAGCAGTTCTCCAGTCACTGGATCACCGTGCAGCCCGCATAGCTTTGAACACCAGACCAAGACCTAAGAGGGAGTTCAGACCCGGCGATGAAGTAGCAGTCTGGCGCCGCGGCAGGGGAATTAAGAAGAACATGGCCCGTTGGAGAGGACCCGGAATTATGGCAGGTGAAGCAGGAGGAAACTTTTGGGTCAGTATGCCCGGGTCATTCATCAAATGTTCCCCAGAGCAACTCCGACTGAGAACAGCAACAGAACGCGAGGCTGACCGGTTTTTGGTCCGAGATATTAGGGCAGCGGCAGCACAGTTGTTTCCGGAGGTGGGACCATCCAACAAGACTCAAAAGAATTTCATTGACATTACCAAAGAAGACTTTCCCCCAGGTGACCTATTTCCGGAGACACC